TTTTTTGACGATTTTGTGAAGTTGAACAAGTATTAATACACACTTGGAACGAGACCAGGCTAAAGGACGACATAATTAGTTGCCGTGGGTGTACGTACTGTATCATTAACAATAAAATTCTTGTTTTATGCTGGAATTAAGCCAGATGTGAAAGTTTTGATGTATGGTTGTGTCTAATGATGAAAACTTTATTTTACAAACCAATCTTTTTTAGTCGCTATTAGCACAATTATCATTATAAAGACAGGTTGGCCAGGCCCTGAAACTATAGATTCTAAGTACATCTATAATATAATGTGAGTGCCTGAGTTCCTGGAATTGAGACATGCCGTGGGTGTTTGATTTTTTCTGCATCACGCTTCTAGTTGATCTTGTATATTGTCAATTGAAATCTTTAGTGTACATACATATGCCTTTACATTGCTTTTCTTACTGTCTTTTTTGGGGTAAAATAATGCCTTACTGTTTTTAGTGTCATGGAACATGAATAAATCACTTGCCCTTGAAAACAGGGCCTCTTTTGCTGGAGATCTTCAGTCCATATCATGGATGGCAATGGCCGTGGGAGGAATCTTTGGGAGCTTACTTGGGGGATATGCTCTAACCAATCTACAAATAGATAAAATATTCTTGCTTTTTTCTGCCTTACAAGCCATACAGCTGTTTTCATGTGGTTTAGTTGAGGAAAGTTATGTGGACGGTATAGTTTCTTCTGAACACTCTAGTTCAAACGGTACGAACGGCAAAGATTACCAGGAAGATACTTCCAAGAGCCAGTACAGTACTTCCTCCAAGAAGTCCAAGAATAATATTTCGAGGCGAAAGAAGAACCATAAAAGTGAAAAAACGAGATCTGTGACTGAACATAATTTTCAGGGCCCTGAAGCCCAGAGATCCGTTGCAAGTACATGGCTCCAGTCTCTGAAAATGGCTTCATATTCATTGTTTGGGGCTTTTCGTCAGCCTATCATTTTGAGGTAATCATTTGGACATTTTTTATGGATCTTCCTTTTTTTCTTTCCTTGTGAATGGAAAAGGTGATCATCTTTATTTGAATTATCTTGTTTCCTATATGTAATTGTTACTTAGTGCATATAATGGAAGATTCTTTGTATAAGAATTTCAAATGACTTATTAATCGACAGTGGAATTAAATTTTTTACCGTGTAATAACTTGAGAGAAAAATTAAGAACCAAGCTTTTGATGTTGATTCTTCTTTATACCATTGGAATTTAGAATTGCATGTTTTTTTCCCAATTTCATGCTGAATTTCTAGCATATAATGTTTTATATGCTCGATCTTGGTTGCCCATTCTCTCTTGCGTGCGGGCTGAATAATTAAGATTGTTGTATTACATTGGGATGTATAGGCCTATGTCGTGGTTTTTCCTGGCACATGTAACTGTCCCAAACCTCTCAACGATCATGTTCTATTACCAATCGGAAACCCTAAAATTGGAAGCCTCCTTCTTGGGCACGACCCGTGTCGTCGGCTGGTTGGGCCTCATGTTTGGAACCGTGATATACAACCGCTTCTTGAAGAGGATGAGATTACGTAGGATTCTCTTGTAAGTCTATCCTGAACCTGTATGACACTTGGGTTTTCAAGAAATTAAGCAACTTTATTTTTCCGAATAGATATAACATTTTTTTTATCTGGTTCTTGATCAGATGTGCTCAAATTGGCTTGTCCCTATTGAGTCTTTTGGATGGGGTTCTTGTGTCAAGATCACATCTTGCACTAGGCATATCGGACAAGGTTATGGTGCTTTTTGGGTCAGCTCTTTCAGATGGCATCAATCAATTTAAGTAAGTCTGACAGTTTCCTTTTATTTTAATCAATTTTTAATTAATTGCTATTCGTTATTTTCTTTATTTCCCAGTTCATCTGTCTTTTATGCAAATAACATAATTTTGAGGGATAATTATACGACCTACTCCTGATACCAGGCCTAATTACAACCAAAAAAAAAAAAGAAAAAAAAAAATTGATTTATCTTTCAAAATCTACAAGTACCCATTTAAGGTATATGTTCCTTGATAAATATGAACTGTTTGTAAAAGTAGAGATATATAGAGCAACTGTTAATGAAACATACTGTGGTTCTTTTGTGGGAACTGTAATCTTGAAACACACTGGTTATTTTATAATTAGATAAGGCCGAAGGGTATGTTTGATAGACAAAGCTGATTAGCTAGCTAGCTAGCTAATAGCTGATAAGATGATAATTGTTAGTTGGTACGTGAAAAGCTAGCTGGTACAAATTAAAAAGTATCGTAAAATTAGCTCGTGATTTTCAATAGAGGCTAAGCCAACCAAGTGAAGCTTATTTGGGTATGAGAAACAAAAACTTACAAGGAACTCTGTTCTTGTGTTGCAGGTTCATGCCATTCCTGATTTTATCAGGGCAACTTTGCCCGCCCGGTATAGAAGGAACTCTGTTTGCGCTCTTTATGTCTATTAACAACTTGGGCTCAACAATCGGATCTTTTGTGGGTGCTGGGCTGGCTTCGATTCTTAATATTTCTTCCGGAAATTTCGAGAACCTTCTTTCCGGCATCATTATTCAATTCCTGTGCACTTTTATTCCGGTTGCTTTTCTATTTTTTATACCAAAAGAAGCTACAGGAATATCAGCATAGGTTTAGAAAAATAACCAAAAGAGGTTATAGCACAAAGTTTGCTGCCTTGGTCTTTTTGTCTCAACCAGCAGTTTAGATGCAAAAATCAAACTAGTGAAAATTGAAAAACATATGATTGATTTACTTACGTGTATTGTTAGCCTGAAATCTATTCGGTCCTCTGTAACCCCAGTGATGTTTTAGTTGATGAGAATTTCTTTATTGTGATGCAGACAAGAATGAAACCTTCAATTTTCTGTTACTGAATCTCTTTGGGTTATTTGCAAAACTATCCTATGTTTTTAGCCAGGTAACAAAATAAGTAAAAAAACCAGTTTATTTAATTTTTTATTTTTTCGCATCTTTACAATGGTGGGGAAGATTCGACACTACTCCTCTAAGCCCTTGATTCATACACACATACGCATACTTTTTGCATCTTTTAAGCACCTCGTTATACATTCTGGCTGGTGTCTTAACAAGAGAGCTGTGACACGGCCCAACTCGCAAACTCCTTATAAGACCTCCAACCTTGACCTCGTCCAAGGATGAAGATATCTCCGCACATGCCTAATTGTATCTAGCTATGTAATTCCTCAAGGACTTGCCCTCATTCGGTCAATTGTCATTAACGTCAAATAGGTCTTCTTCTGAGCAATTGCAGTGGCATATTGGTTCAGAAATAAGTTCGAAAAGTCCTCAAAGTCCTTCACCCGAGCCTAAGGGAAGCCGATGAAACCAATCTTGAGCTGCTCCCCTCAAGGTGGCTAGAAAAGCTCGACAACAGACCATGTCCGAGTACTCATGCAAAACAACCATGTTTTTTAACGACCTCACGTGTCTTGACGGATTCGTCGACCCATCATATGTCAGATTGACCTCCCTAAAATTTGTTGGTAGCACCGCATCAAGGATCTCCCTGAAAATAGGAGTCCCCGAGTTCGACGTACTGCCCTCCCGTTGACTTTAGCCTGCAATTGGTGAATCTGCTCCACCATCCTCTCCACAACTCAATCTCTATGCGCACCGGTGTCCCTATTGCTCGATTCATTTATCTTCATCTCCTGCCTTTTATTCCCACCACTGTGGTCGGTGCGGTGGTTGCATTAGACGTCTGGCGGCTGGTCTGATGGGTTGTCCCAGCTGCAACGACGTTGGCGATCGACATGTCGAGGTCCTCCTTAGACGTCGTGACAAGCTGTCCTCAATTGGCCTCGCTCCTAGTTCACCCCATCGCCTGGACTATCGTCCGTCGAGGTTGTCCGCTGGCCAGATCGGCGAACTCCTGGGTTGTTCGGGCCTCTGGTGGGTGGCTCAGCCCTGCAACTACAACTGGGACCACCGATGAGCTCTTTAAGTCTGCAGGATGAGGCGTCGAGGCCATCATGGTCTGAACTCTGAAGTGGTATGGAGAAGCCTGGTGGTGGGACTACTCCGAATGGGCGCGTGTTCGGCCACATGTCATCAAACATTCGCTTGAGATTTCTTCTGAAAATCTCGTTCGCCATGGATGAAGATGAAGAAGCTTCAATGGATTTTTGAATAACTTCTCACAGACGACGCCAAATGGTATAAAATGACCCTCGACCGTCTTGGATTCGGCCTGCTCTGAGCTCCTCACTGGTACATCGTCCTTCAGATCGGCAAAAACTCCACATCGAAGGTGTTTTGCGGTAAAGAGCCATCGATGCTTAAGTTAGCACACTGAAGAGGATGATGAGTTGTATGTAAGTGTATATAGAGTCTATAGAATGTAATGTAATGAAGTGCATACCTCGCTCCCTTTTACAGGGGAGTGTTACCTTGTTGGCCAAGACTACCCAAACAACCAATTCGTACTGCCCGAACTGCCTAATTCCGTTAAGCCATGTTGCCCTATCCATGTGTGGTCCTTATCCGATTAATATTCCTTCTTATCCATTAGTCTTTCTTATTAGACCGCCTAATTGCAACCAGCTCGAATCTTGTTGAGGTAGAAAGCTGCGCGTACAGAGTTAAAGTGTTTTCCTTTCGGTCGATCACACGACCAACTATACCTTCAGGTCGAGTTTTCAACAGCCCATCCGAGGGCCTTATCTCGACCTGTCGTTGCACTTTTGAACTCCTTACGTCTTCTTTGACCTGAAGACTCCTGTTATGCATTGGCGCTCGACCTCTGTTCAACCTTGCTGTGACTCTGTTCGACCAACCGATTCACTTGACATGGTCAGCCGCTTTATTGGTTTTGCTATACCTATTGTGGTATCCCATATTACTTATCATCTTTACTGTTCTAAAGTTTTCCTTGCCCAACACCACTGTTAATGTGATTTCTTTATTTGGGGTTGCTCTGAGAAGTTAAACCCATATAGTGTTGCATTGGCTGCGTTTAACTCGACCTCGAGCTCCATCTGCTGAAAACATTTGTAGAAGAATGAAAACTTGTTCGACTTCGTACATAGTGACCTCCATCGATACGACCAGAGCGTCATTGTGCGGTCTCTCGACCTCTTCAGTGTCTCATGATTCAAAATTCACCATTGGTCCTTTACCAACGACTGATTTACCTCGGTCTTATGGATCCTGGTGTTCACTTTTATAGCTCTGTTGAAGTCTCCATTCGTTGGGCCACTAGAAATCATTTGAATCACTCTCCTTTTGGGTGGGAGCTCGTCTCTTTCAATCGGTTTATCGAGGTCTCTTGTTTCTTTCTTCTCTGCGATCCCTGTCACCTCTCCCTATCCTTATAGACGAGCTCCTTCAAATGCCCTGCTCATATTAATCACCCAGTTTCGTCCTTGAAATGCCTACAATAATCCGTTGTGTGTCCGTAGTCCTTGTTGAAGCGGCAATACAAGTTATCTTTGGGTCGTGTAGGCCCATCCTTCCTAGTCTTTGGACATGTCACCAAACTTTTATGCACATTCCTCTCCATGACCTCCAAAAATGTAGCTTCACTAGCTGACAATGGGGTACTTTTTCATACTTTTGTCCATTCTTCAAGGATCGTCCTTCCCAGTTCCCACCTATCCGACCTCTTTTATTCATTTCTTTCATGTCGCGGACTATGCTTTTTTTTTTTATTTCCTTTCCTCCCACATCTGTCCTTTGGTCAACTTTGTAGCTTGTAAAAAATCGGCCTCTGTCTCTTTTGCGTTCATGTACTTGTTGCATCTTGATAAAACTTCATCACAAGTTTGCCCTGGCTCTTTAGCCAATAAATTTTTGCAATTATAAGGTCTCAATCCACTAGTTAGTTTCCACCATTTATCTCTTCTAACACCGGGGGGTACGTCTATGCATGCTTTGGTATAATGAGCTACGAAATCCCTCAAAGACTCAATTTTCCCTTGCTGCATTCCAATTAGAGTTAAGTAGGTTTTCTCATGAGCTTTGCTACTCACGAAGGGTTGATGAAGCTCGAGCTAAATGACCCAAAATTGTAGATTGATCCTGGTGGAAGTTGGTGGAACCAATCCTGTGCATGTCCTCGCAACATGGTCAAGAAAGCTCTGCATTACACTGGGTCGTTATATCTGTGCAGCAATGTTGTGTTTTGGAAACTCCTCAGATGCCTCGAAAGGTCAGTAGATCCGTCATATGCCAACCTAGGCACCATAAAAAGGTAAGTCCATGTCAAGTATATATTGTCAGAATGGGTGACCTCTCAAGTTGGATCCTCTCTTTTCCTCAACCTTATCTTGCCGAACACGAATTTAAGCTGTTAGTTTCTCCAATGCGCTGTCTCTGGTCGACTGTGTACATGTTATCATCTGCATGGATGACTAATCATCTTCTCTCTTCTTGTAGGTACTGTTATGCGAACTATTAAGATGTGTATTCCGACATTGATTCATTTTCACAGCTACTTCTTCTGCAGTCATCTTTTACAACTTAGCTCTTGTGAGGGTAATAGCTTGCTCCTCAGGTCGTTGGAGCTGAGCAGAGTCCTCTACCTCTTTTTCTTCTCCTTCAACCCGTTTCCTTTTGTTCTATGTGCCTTCTTGTCGACCTAAACCTTCGCCAGCGAGTGTCATCGATGTTGCTTTACCACTTCTAGTTGGTAATAGTTGACTTTTTCCTTCCACATGTGTTGATGGTTCCTCATGTTGGAGACCAAACGGTGGCGTATGGCTACTCATCGGCGGAAATCCAAGCATAGTGTTTCTTAGTTTCAAAGTAGGCGCCAAAGGAGGGCGTCTGTCCGTATGCCCAGTCCTCTGGCCGTCTTGAGAGATAGGTCGTTTTAACCGGCCAATCGACCTCTTAGTACTTGGTGTAATTTCAGTTGACCCAATTATGGCCATATCATATTAACGTCTTGAGAGTGATAGGTCGTTTTAACCGGCCAATCGACCTCTTAGTACTTGGTGGAATCTCAGTTGACCCAGTTATGACCATACCATATTAGCGGATTGAATCTCATTTAGAGGTTTCACCCGACAAATTTAATGATTGGCTTGCTTGGTAAATAACTTGTACTGATTAGCTTTTTGACTCCAAATGCTAATTCTGAAAATATGATTCGTAGAATAACATGTCAACATAATATTTTCGAAACAACTATACAATCTACTATTTACCAAATAATTATTTAAAATAATTATTTACAAAACAATGACATCAATTGATTGGTTAATAGCAGAGGACACGGGAATAAATAAATTATGAGAAAAAGTGCTACAAAACTTTAATAAGACCGGAGATAAATGAATTTTAATGAAAAAAAAAAGGCTAAAAAATAAATAAAATCATGAGAAAAAAAGTGCTCAAAAACTTTAATAAGACCCGAGAGAAATGAATGATAATTAAAAAGGCTAAAACAATTCAGTAAGTGAAAGCTAAAAAGGAAATATGATGAAAAAGGCAAAAATTTTAAGAGTGGTATGAGAAGCCGCAATCTCATATCAGAGCCAGGTTTCGATCCTGGGACCTGTGGGTTATGGGCCCACCACGCTTCCGCTGCGCCACTCTGATTTGGTTGTCAAACAAAGACAAAAATTATCTAACTATCCGTGTACAATCAGGTCATAGACCCGTGAAAGCAAAGCAAAGAGCATAGTCCCAGCGACAGTTTCGTTTCATCGATCGGATCAAGCGACGAGTTACCAACAGATCGGAAAATGAGACGGCGACCTGGAATCGGCGGCTTGCAAAACGCCGTCGCCGCTAGGGTTCTTCCTTCTTCTCCCCTCTCGATTCATATATATTTATTTATAAGCGCATTTTATGTAGTTTTATTAAAAATCTCATTATTCGAAATTTGTGCTTCTCGTTCGTGATGCCACCCACCAAAGGATCAATATCGTCTGCTTGGGGAAAATGTGGCGAAACTGCGTACGGATCTAATGAAGGAGCAGCTCGCAACTTTTCGTTCTCAGTTAGAAGACTTTGCTCTCAAGCACAAGGTGGTCCCTTTTCTTTTTCCTTCCCTCTGCAATTATTGGATGATGGGTGATTAAGAAGCACAAAAAATTGTTTCCAGTTGATTGTTAAGGAGTTTTGGATTTATGGGGATGAAAGTTGTGCTTGTTGTTTGAAACTGATTGACTTGTTGCGACTTTGTAGCCCAATTTTCCTGCATATCAGTGGAATTATAAGCATGTCTCTTTAGTATTGTGGGCTTTGCATTTTGTATTTCCTTCTTGGTCTTGTTATGCTTTTGAACAGAAGGAGAGTGCATTTGCCCTATGACTTTCTCAATTCAGTTTGATTCGGTTTATCGGAAGTACGTAAGGCAGTGGAAGGTTTTAGCTTAGAATACAAATTTTGGTTAAGATGGTTGAGTATGATTTGCAAGTACAGTACAACTATGAGAAGGTCCTCTCCGATTCCCTTTTTCTTCTGTGCAAATTTTGGCGAGCTAACTATATATGCGGTAGCTGGACGAAAGAAACCCCTGTTTAACGATATTTTTGTGCGAGAATATGGTGAATCTGTGTGAGCCGAAAATTTTTATGCCCTGCCTGCCTTGTTTCATGATAACTACTAGGAGACGACATTGTGATTTTTACTATTTTCATACTTATATTTATTTAATCTTATCCTCCTCATTGGAACATATGAAGCACTGGGTTTCTCGAGTTCACTTGTAACTGTCGTGTGACTTGGGCAGAATGACATTCGCAAGAACCCAGCTTTCAGATCGCAGTTTCACGAGATGTGTGCCAAAGTCGGAGTGGATCCATTGGCCTCGAACAAGGGTTTCTGGGCTGAGTTATTGGGGATTGGTGACTTCTATTACGAGCTTGGTTGGTACCCAGACTTCTTTTTCATGTTTATTCTCTTGCAGTTTAGCTAGTTGCTACTTCTGATCTTGTGGTTACCTTTTCATTATTGGCATATGATTGTGGCACTTGTCACTTGGCTTGTTTCGTTTCGTCATTGCATTTTCCTGGTTCGTGGCTCATTGGTTTGAATCTAGCAGGTCTGTTCGTATACTTGTAATTACAAGTCGATCTATTTGTCTAGACAGGAGTGCAAATTGTTGATATTTGCCTGGCCACTAGAGCCATAAATGGAGGTTTGATCAGTTTGGAAGAATTGTGTAAATTGCTAGGCCAGAGGAGGAAGGGGGCTCGTGAGGCCGTCTCTCAAGATGACTGTTTGCGTGCGATAAGTAAGCTAAAGGTATTCATTGTGCTTCAGCTTTTATATTATTCGTTAGATGACTTATTATATAACAATGTTAATTTCAGGTGCTTGGTAATGGTTTGCATCTTGCTCTGAAAATTGATACGATTCCTGACACTTTTCCTAATTTCATCCCCTTCATTCATAACTGTCCTCTTTGTATATACTACCTATCTTTGTGTGTGTGTGTGTGTGTGTTTACGTAGATACAATTGCTCTTATTCTACCTCATTTGACTTGCTACTATTGACCGTGTTTACCTCTGTGAAAAAATATCAGGTGCTCGGTAATGGTTTTGAGGTGATTTCTCTTGGAAAGAAGAAGCTTGTAAGATCTGTGCCTACGGAACTGAACAAAGACCACAATGAAATTCTTGAGCTAGCACAGGTTTTCACCCTATCAATATGACCAATATATATGTATTCTTGTTATTATTGTTGATGTTTTGTTGCTTCATTTCTACTTTCTTAATATCATTACCATGTGCTATCTACATTGTCAATTAATTTAGAATACAATTATTTTTACTGGAGAACTTTTGTTGTTTCCGTAGGGTCAAGGCTACGTGACCGTTGATGAAGTTGAGAGACGGCTTTCTTGGTCTTCTGGACGTGCAACGGATGCCCTGGAAACTTTATTAGAAGTAACTTATCGAAATTTTATTTCCTTTTTGTTTTTATCAAATCAAACAAATCGAGCTAGCGGGATTCAGACAAGTACAATAATGAGGCTCTTTGCGGCCCACATTTACGTATAATTGCAGGAAGGTCTTGCCATGATTGATGATGGTCACAAGGACGGTAGACGTCGGTATTGGTTTCCATGCGTATCGTCATCTGCCTCTTCCTACACAGACAACTGATACTGTCTAAGAGTTATTGTATACTGTTTTCACCATTTGGTGTATAAGATATTAACTTATTAAGTTTGATCATCAAATACATTCCTGTTCTGTTTTGATTTCAGTTTTGAAAGGGGTCTTCTATTCTACTGTTTGACAGTTACTTGTTTATTTATTATTCTGTGAATATGATAAAAGAATTTTACATACCTTGTGCGTATCATCCGAGCAAGAATTAAGAAGTTTTCTTCTGCGCAGTTGTAATCATTTGCTTGCCCAATGTTCTTTCAATAAAACTACCCGCCTGTCACACAATATAGTGATATACTTTCAAATCAAGCAACTCTACAATATTCAAACTTCTATTCCTTTGAAATCTAGCTATCTACTATTAATTAATTATATAATTAGACAACTCACTTGCTATTTTTAAAAAGTTTTATATGGGTTCTACAGCAGTCTTACTATTTTTCGGAAAATCCTCACATTCTTTGACACGTGTTCGTATTTATATTAATATATTAACTACCTCGACTAATATTTATTTAGTTTATCGATAACTACCAAAGACCCATTATTTAATGATACGTGTTCAATGGCTGTGACTCATTTTTTTTTATACAAGCAATTAAAAGTACGGAACGTTTGTACTTGACAAATATTTTTATAAAATTTGATTTTATTTTGTATTAAAGATTTTAGTTTAAATTATTTATCTAATTTTCATACTTTATACTTTATAAATTATTATTCTAATAATAGTGAAATTAGATATAAAATATTTTAAAAACATGCGCAATGAATATTCTCCGCGGCGAAATATTCTCTTTTGATACTTTTTTTCTTATCCTTAATTAGTTCTCCCCCAAAATATTCTACGCGGCGAAACCCTCCCTCAATTTTCTTCGCGGCAGGCTCCTCTTAATTTCGGCGAATTCGCTTTTCTCGGTGTCGGATAGTCTCGGCCAGGGGTCGTCGATGAATGTCCCGACCTCCCTTGACGTCGTGCGCTCCTGATTCTCGGTTGATGGCCGCGATTTCGGATCTAGCTCGCGGTTGTGGACAGGGTTTCTAGCGGCGACGCCGTTCCCGATCGGTGCTTGAAGGTGGAGTCCCTCCGTGGCCGGCGAAGCTCTGATTGGTGATGGTAAGTCAACTGTCTCTCTTGTCTGTGATTGTCGGGATGACTTTTTTCGACCAAGCTCCGTTTTTTCAGGCGAGTTGGAGCCTCTGGTCGGGGTGTCTGTGGAGATGTCGGGCAGTGTGCGGGTCTTTGGGTGGACGGGACTCCGGTGGCTGCAGTGTTTTGGTTGCGGTGGTCGGGGTGAGGGGCGTTCCTCTCGCACAATCTCCTGTTTGCCTAGTTGTGTTAGGAGGCGGGGGAGGTTCCATCGGTTTCGCATAGTGGTTATAGAAAAGTTCGGGTGGAATCGGTGTGGGGTGAACTTGGCTCTCTCGGTTATTGATGGTTCGATTCGGGGACTGGATCGGGTTAGGTTTCTTCTACTGTATAGGCTTGATTGCAGTTTCGGTAGCAGACTCTTGGCCTAGATTTGCCTTGTGTCGATCGTTCACTGCTCGTTCGGGCTAGCTCGTTCCCTAGGGAAGGGCTGTTAGTTTATTTTAGTTTCTCGTGGCCTTGCTTAGTGTTTTCTTTTCAGTGTTTGTCAGTGTCTTGTGTTTTTGGTCTGGGCCGTTGGCCCCTGTGAGCCCGAGTGTCAAACTTATTATACTGTTGGGATTCGACACTCGGGTATTACCCTGTTGGAGTCTTTTTAGTTGGTTTTTCATGTTATTGGTTGGTTTAGTTGTGAGTGTTTTTTATTCTAGCGTTGTTAGTCGGGATTCTAGACGGTTTTATAACTTGTTCTCCCACTTTTTTAGTTGTTGGCTGCTGTGTATTCGCACATTTGTGCATTTTGATTTACAATATTATCTATCGTTTTGGGAAACAAAAAAAAAAAAAAAATCACACAAAACATTGTAACGCCCTGAATATTTTTAGTATTTATGAAGCTCGACTTTATTCCCATAAATAACAAGTTTCCTAAATACGAATTGGAGTCGAATAATACAGCTGAAATTCATTTCAAGAAAAAGGGCAAGTTGGTGAATGAACAAGGATGAGAAATTTAATTAGGTGTTGGATGAGTTTTAGTTTTGTGCATATAGAATTGCATCTGAAAGTAGTTGTGGTAAAAAGTAGTTAATATTAAAGGTTTATAATTGAATTATGCATTGAATTACCAACTGTTTTTGGCCCATGATGTAAGTCATATAATTATAAACAAAGTATGAAGATGAGTGCATGAAATGGTAGCAGTTTAGTTACTTGATCAAGCAAACAATAGCTAAAATGTAAGTTAGAGTCCGTCCAATGCAAACATCCAAAATTAAGCATTCTCAACTTCTTTTCCTCTTTTCATTTACAGCTTTCGGTCCAACACATTTTCTATTTATTTATTTATTTATTTTTGTTGTGCACTGCTATAATGCCCAACATTGCATGCATTAAGTGGTAAAAATTAAATTAAAAAATAATTTAATATTAGCTTCTTTTCTTAATAAATAAATAAATATATATTTTGATTTTGTTGACATTTCAAATGTAGATAAAACTACAAATAAATGAAAATTGACACTAAATTTGTGTCAAACCCTACATTAAATATATTCTATTTCAAAAGCCAATAAATTTTAGGGAAATGCTACGGTCCGTTAAGGAACCAGTCTGTCGGGGTTCGTAACCGTTACATCAACTATCCCCGACAGTTACATTACATGATGATCCAACGGTTACGATCTCCGACGGACCGTAGCATTTCTCTAAAGTTTATATTATGTTGAAAATTATTTGGTAAGATATTCACGACTCCTTCGAAACACCTTATAAATTAGAGCTCTATAAACCATTTCCTCACACACTCCATAATCCCAGCCTCCAAAGTCCCAACATTTCTTCTTCTTTTTTTTTTCTTTTTCTTTTTCATTAAAATATAGTATACATATTAAAATTTCAAATGTCTGCACAAGTGGAAGCTAATAAAAAAAATTTGGCCACAACTCAAAACGAAATAGAGGAAAGTTGGCAAGTGTCGACGTGGAGCCACCGTGCATGGCTGGCCATCGGCTGCGCGGCGGTGCTGTTCTCGGTGGCTAAATCAATCCATTACGGCTCCACAAAAGCATCCATCTTTGCGGCGTTTGTCGGGTATATATTGGCGGACTTGGGCTCCGGCATTTACCACTGGGCGATCGACAATTATGGGAGCCCGAATACGCCCATTTTCGGCTCCCAAATCGAGGGCTTCCAGGGCCACCACCAGCAGCCGTGGGCGATAACAAAAAAGCAGGTCGCCGTCAACCTCTACCTGACGGCGGCGTCTGTCTCGGTGGCAGTCATCCCCATCAATATTCTGTCCACTAACCCGCCTTTGCTCATGTTCGTCGGCGTCTTCGGTGCCAGCGAGATTTTCAGTCAGCAGTTCCACGCGTGGGCCCACACGCCCAGACGGAAGCTTCCGGCCGTCGTGAAGGCGCTTCAGGACGCCGGAATCCTTCTGGCTCCGTCGCAGCACGCCGCCCACCACCGGCCGCCCTACAACAACAATTACTGCATCGTTAGCGGAATCTGGAACCGGATTCTGGATAGAACCGGGTTTTTCCTGGGCCTGGAGCTGGTGTTCGATTGGGCTTTCGGGTACAAGCCAAGATGTTGGGGTGAGCCCAATTTTGAATGGGCCCAGGTCTCTGGAGCTAAGTAACTCTTTGATGGGCTGGGGCATCAAATAAATAATAATTAATATGCCTAATAATCGTGAGAACGTGATTGGCAGGGCGTGGTGTGTCTGGATGGGTATCAAACAGTTTCATAACCTCAAGTAATAAAATGATAATATTTATATTTGTTGTGTGAGTTTCGCTTTTCAACTATAGTTTTTCACATATCAAGTTACTTACACAATTCTTTTATTTTTTTTAATTTTTTTATAAATATAATTTTTTGCAGGGGATTTTTTATTTATACCACATGATTCAGAAAAAATTATAATTTTAGCATGTGGCAAACTTTATTTGCAACTTTACCAATTTCATTCCAATTAAGTATAAATATACACCAAATTAGGATATTTTCAGTTACTAAATTAAGTGTAACTGCCTCCCCAAATTATTAGATTTTCAGTTACGAGTATATTGCGTGTCAATTCATTTCCACTAGTGCGTGGCCCGTGCGATGCACGAGAAAAAAATAATATTACTATTGTGTTATAAACTAAATGTACAAATAAATTAATCAAGATTTACCCATTCTTTTTAAATTAAATCGTGTTGGACACAGTCCGACCGAATGGCTCGAGAATCGGTTTATTAATCAGTCTAGTTCACTTGAATAAAATATTTGTTATTGAATTCGTCAACACCAGTCGGTTGAACTGGTTGGATCAATACGATTTTCTAAATAAATTTTATTATATTTAAAATTGTTTTAAATAAAATTACATATTTAAATAAAATAGATATTTATAAATTGTTTATCAATTAATTTAAACATTTGAATTTTTAAATTATTTAAATATTTAAGTAACACATTTTATGCAAATTTATTGCAAAAAGTACTATATATATATTAAACGGTAATTTTAAATAAAAAATTAAATTGTATGATTTAATTAAATTGTATGATTATATTAAGGTATATTTATAAATTAAATTGTATGATTTTTAAAATAAATAAGAAAAATAATAAAACTACTATTTATGGGCTGCATTAAATGCTGACCTATTCTTTTGCTACTAATTTTAATAAATATGATGGCTCTTTATATAACTATAGATGCCAATTCCACGCAGTATATATTCCGTTTATATTCTGTATATATTCAATATATAACCTTATTTTTTTATTTACATAGCATTTTTATCTAACCACAGTTGTGATATTTGAATTTTTGTTCAGTATATCACCTATCATATATGTATCATAAATTTATCATAATCATTATTTTAATAAATTATTTTAGTATATGTAAAGTATACGATAAACAAATGATGCACGGACCAGACGAGAAACACACAAAGCACGTGCAACGAAAACATATACTGCATATACTCGTAACATATACTGTTGATTGGGCTTACGAGAACATATACTAAAAAATATATTGTATATAAACGGAACATATACCACAACATAATAAATCAAATGAAAAAAATCTAGAAAAAAAAAATCATGAGTTGAATCATTAATCATACATATATTGAAGGGGAGATAGGGGAAGAGAGATAGAGAAAATAAGCCGCCCAAATTATATATATACGATAAATGTACACATATACATACAATGATTGGGGCTAGGTTTAACTTTGAATCAGATCTCGTTCTCATCGATGCTCATATACATACATATACATATAATTAATTCGAATAGGTTGAGCGGGATGAAAGTGACTAAATAAATTGAAGAACTCCTTATTGATTTTCACTAATTGTGGTGGAAAATGTTAAGTGTAATAAAAATCAAAATGTTAAGTGTACCACGTAATTTTTGAGCAGTTCCCGGGGTCACTCTAGATTGTGTTGTAGCAGTTCAGTGTGTATCTTATAACCAGTTGGTTATGCCTCTATACATTTTTGAGTTTTAATTAATGAAATTTGATGTTTCGATTAAAAAAAAAAGTGTACCACGTAATTTTCTCTCTCTTTTTTTTTCGTGATGAATGCAAAACACAAGTTTTGTAGTTTACAGAAAATTGATTTATTGTACAAATATTTTGTGAATGTAAAAAAGTTTTGTCCTTTTCGTACTAGGTATCGCCTTTGTCGATAATAAGAAATTATCAAAAGTATGTTTCTGGCAATTATGAGATTAAGAGAGTATAATAACAAGTAAATAAGATAGGTAGGTGATATAGTATTCAGAATTGCTCGGCTGAATAGTCAGAAGTGTTAGCTCAACATTGGACGGTTTAAGAGAGCTCATTCTGGTTGTATCATCAGCCTGTTGAAAGTTAAACTTGATTTATAAATTATAATATTGTATTTTAAAGAATTATCTAGAAGGTGGTAGATTACATTAGTGCAGTGTAATCTAGGAAAAGATAATTATGACATGTGTAGAAGTATGTAGAATAGATTTGTGTAGAAAAATCTAGGAAAAGTGAAAGATGTGGCATGGACTAGAAACTTCCAAGGTTGCCTATAAATATCTCATGTGTGATGTAAAGAGGATTGATGAGAAATAAAAAGTTTCTACCTCCTTCCAATAAAATCGTAGTCTAGCCATCATCTTTATACTACTCACTTTACTCAACATTCACATACACAATATATACATATTCTAACAAAGTGGTACCAGAGCCAAGTTCATTCCCTAATGGCGAACAACCTACAATCCTTTGAAGTCCCAATTCTCAACAAGAGCTAGCAACTTCGATAATTGGAGTATTAAAATGAAGGCTCTACTAGGAGCTCATGATGTGTGGGAGATTGTAGAGAACGGGTATGAGGAACCGCCAGATGAAGCAACACTATCCCAACAACAAAAGGAAAGGCTAAGGGATTCAAGGAAGAGGGATAAGAAGGCTCTCTTCCTTATCTACCAAGCATTGGGAGATGACGATTTCGAGAAGATCTCGAGCGCATCAACCGCGAAGGAAGCTTGGAATAAGTTGCAAGTCTCGTGCAAAGGCGTCGAGCAAGTAAAGAAGGTACGTCTACAAACTTTACGAGGTGAATTTGAATCCCTTAATATGAAGGAATCCGAATCTATATCGGATTATTTTACTAGAGTATTGGCGGTATCAAATCAAATGAAAAGAAATGGTGAAAAGATGGAGGATGTTAGAATAATGGAAAAAATACTACGCTCATTAACTCCAAAATTTGAGCATATTGTTATAAAAATTGAAGAAACAAAAAACTTGGAGGAGATGTCGATAGATATGCTAATGGGCTCATTACAAGCTTACGAAGAAAAACATAAAAAGAAGCAAGATATTGTAGAACAACTTTTCAAAATGCAAGTGAGCTTGAAAGAAAAGGATGAAGGGCCGAGCAACAACCGTGGTGGATATTGGAGAAGTCGTGACCAAGGACAAGGTCGAGGCCGAGGACGCGGACGAGGTGGCTATACCAATTATGAAAAGAAAGAGTACGGTCGAGGAAGGAGTAACCAAAAATCGAGGTACGATAAGTCTTCCTCAAAATGTTATAATTGTCATAAATTTGGTCATTTTGCTTCTGAGTGCAGAAGCCAAAGGCTTAACATTGAAGAGAAGGCGAATTTCGTTGAGAGAAAAGGTGAAACCAAAGCAAGTTTGCTTTTAGCTTACAAAGGAGAGGAAGGAAGACAAGATGACACTTGGTACCTCGACACGCGAGCAACCACATGTGTGGAAAAAGGAATATGTTTGTGGAGCTCGACGAGTCGATAAGTGGGAATGTCTCATTTGGTGATGATTCTAAAATTCCAGTCCAAGGAATAGAAAAAATATTAATTCGTTTGAAAAATGGAGGACATGATTTTATCTCAAATGTTTACTATGTGCCTAATATGAAAAACAATATTTTGAGTTTGGGTCAACTCTTGGAGAAAGGTTATGATATTCGCATGAAGGATTATAGCCTTTCAATAAGAGACACCAAAAACAATTTAATTGCCAAGGTGCCAATGTAAAAAAATAGAATGTTTTTATTAACATTCAAAATGATGTGGCGAAATGTCTTCAATCTTGTTATAAAAATTTATCCTAGTTGTGGCACCTTCGATATGGGCACTTGAATTTTGGAGGACTGGAATTACTATCAAAGAAAGAGATGGTAAGAGGATTATCATCAATTAAGCATCCAGATCAGTTGTGCGAAGGGTGTCTACTTGGGAAGCAGTCTAGGAAACCATTCTCGAAGGAGTCTTTTTCGAGAGCTCAAAAGCCATTGGAGCTAGTTCATGCAGATATATGCGGTCCGATAGATCCAAGTTCGCTCGGTAAAAGTAATTATTTTCTGCTTTTCATTGATGACTTTTCTAGAAAAACCTGGGTTTTATTTTTGAAGCAGAAATCTGAAGCATTAGAGGCCTTCAAAGAATTTAAAGTCATGGTCGAAAAGCAAAGCGGCATCAAAATTAAAGCCTTAAGGACTGATAGAGGGGGCGAGTTCATATCAAAGGAGTTCATGGAGTTCTGTCGAGAAAATGGAATTAGAAGGCCACTGACAGTCCCAAGATCCCCCCAGCAGAATGGCATTGTTGAAAGAAAGAATCGTACCATTATCGAGATGACGAGGAGCATGCTCAAGACAAAGAATCTTCCTAATGAATTCTGGGCCGAAGCGGTTGCATGTGCGGTGTATCTATCCAATCGATCTCCAACAAAGAGTGTTTGGGGAAGACTCCACTAGAAGCTTGGAGCGGTGTAAAGCCCGGGATTGCTCACTTGAGAGTGTTCGGGAGCAAAGCTTACGCACATGTACCAGACCAGAAAAGAAGAAAGCTCGACGACAAAAGCAAGGTCTTCATATTTATCGGGTACGATTCTAACGCTAAAGGATACAAACTATATAATCCCGATACTAAACAGATCGTGATAAGTCGAGATGTGGAGTTCGACGAAGAAGGAACATGAGATCTTAATTCCAACGAGGAGTTCAATTACATTCCGCACTTTGAAGAATCAAAGATGGAGGAGCAAGCAAGAGACATCAGGCAAGAGCATATGACTCCACCAAGCTCACCAGGGCCAAGCAATGAAGACTCGCCACCATCTT